TTAACTATTAGCCAATTTTAACTCTAACGAATGGTAGTCGTTATACATTAGCCATTTTAACTCAACGATGGTGCGTTATACATTAGCCATTTTAACTCAACGATGGTGCGTTATACATTAGCCATTTTAACTCAACGATGGTGCGTTATACATTAGCCATTTTAACTCAACGATGGTGCGTTATACATTTGAACCACTGTAGAGTTTATGACGAAAAGATAAATGAGTTAAATTCTACATGGTTTAATAGCATTTTAAAAAAATCTAAATATTGTCGATGGAAAGTCACTCATGATTTATGTATTGTATGTATAATAAATCAAGTTTCAAAGTGTAGAATGTCTAAGCTGGTGAAGCATAACATATAATAATATATATATATATATCAGATACAGTCTCCTGATGAAGCTGTTAATAATGAATATCATACGAACCTTCACTGTGTCATACAGGTTATTGCAAAACGAGATTTTAGCATTTGAAATATACCTTGTTTTTTAGATTCTACTGTCATTGAGGTATTTCTCATAACACCGTATATTACAGTTAAATGTCATTCTCTGTCATTCACAAGTTAAGCTTTGTTATTTCATATGTATTAACATTTGTTACACCTTAATTGTACCCGTAATGGGCAGAGCACAGATGGCCCTTTGTGTAGTTTTGTGCTTAACAAATACATATACCATAATTGTAATAATAAATAAAAAAAAATCCGTTTTGAGATATCGAGAGCCTGCTGAAATTTAACATAGAACATTTTAACATTAGAAACAGTAAAGAATTCAAATAAAATACAATGATGTGTTACGTGTTTGTGATTCCAAAATTTGAATGTTTCGCGGTGTCAATTACCGTATAGCATAATTTGAGTAGAGAAAATAACAGCATTTTAATATACGAATATTTAGCTTGTTATTGACATTTAAACATATTTCATTCTCAAAACAATATGTAATAATATAACAACTCAACAAGTTCTAAAATATGTGCTATAGATTGGTTCAACAATTGAGTTTTAGCTATAATATATTGACTCATCTAGCTAGTTTACAGTTCGTTGAAAGATTCTGATATGCTAACCAGCAACCTTGAACATGAAAATTTTGTTTGTTTGTAGTTAAGCACAAAACTACACAATGGGCTATCTGTTCTCTGACCATCATGGGTATCGAAACACGGTTTCTAGCGTTGTAAGCCCGCAGACACACTGTTGTGCCGCTGGGGTTCGAACTTGAAAATACAATTACACTCTGTAGTAATAATTATAAACTATGTGAAAAGGAAGGATAGTATTTTTTTTCAACTGGTGTTAAGTTCCCATATTTTTATGACTACGCACAAAGAAATAACACCAGGTTTTGCTTATGTAAACCATACGAAAAGGATAACTTTGGAACGAAATATATAAAAACGTAAAGATGTATCTTATGACAATTTTTTTCATGAGATCTTATCATTAAAGAAGCTGAATCTCTTGATTAATACAATCTCTCAAAGATTTATGAAGTTTTGGAAAAGAGACGCTTGTTATAACCGGCTTAATAAAATTTATATTCTTTGTTGAGCATTTTATCCACAGGTGAGGTGAACCATTTATAATGTTGTTGGGGAATTTATGGTGGAAGCAGGAACGTGTAATGAAGTTTCGATAGAAGACGATAGAACTGACAGTAAAAGAGAAGCCACATTCTCTCCTCCTAAATTTCATTGCTGGTTCGTATGAAACATTGTTATAGTAGAGAATCTGGTAAAATAATCAAGTCATATTACCGTAAGTACAAACTGTCATATCCAGGTTAGCTTGGCTACATTTCCTTAGAAATAATATTAACAAACTTTAGTCAGAGTACGTAGTGACAAAAAGCAACAAGTTAAACCTGGATATATATATATATATGTATGTGTGCTCGTATACACTCTAAGAAAATAATAATAATAATGAAATCACACCATTAGAAGTATGAATTATTAATAGAGAAAAATATACCTAATAAAATGTAAATTCATGAGTGTTTGAAACATTTATGATATTTCGAAAATCAGTTATTAAAAGGGTATAGTGGATTAGCAATGAATACCCTTATCTTTCTTCAGCTGCTTGCGGTATGCCACAGTTGAAGGTAAGATATCACTGGAAGCCTTATCATGGTGAAACTAAACCCTGTTGGCCTCGTTTCTGGGAGGATATCCTTGTTGATTATGCTACTTTCTGTGGCCTGGTTCATGTGGACAGATTTTGCCACTAATTTTTTATTAATGAATTCTCTCTCTCTCACCTGTTTCAAGACAATGCACTAATACTTTGCTTACCGTTGATAGGGTACGACTCGTTGCAAGTCTTTTTTTGGGTGGTCCTAAAACCCCAAGTTCATCCATATTCCTTTTTTTCGATTATATTTATTACAAGAGATATAACCATTTCGAAACGTATTTATCTCCAATTTTAACAAATCTTTATGAGAACTTTAATAGACTACAACTGTCTATAGATGAAGAGGGAACGACGTTTCGACTTCTATACTGAGGCCTTCTCCCGAACATTGCTAGTTTGTTTAAATATGGCAAGTATTTGGGAGTTTGATTCTCCAAGGATGATCGGAAATTCAGCAATGTCCTTCAACCAGCTCGCGGAAGGTATTGATGTTGCATAGTGAAAAAAAATATATCAAGCCTGACTGAGCCAAGGCGACAAGCCCGAGAATCGAGGAAGCAACAACAATCAAACACAAATGACCAACGGAACAAGGTGACAAAGATCAATAAATCTGTTGAATTTGATGTGGTGGAAAACTGGAGTACCCTAAGAAAAAAAAACAAGCCGGTCAGTGTACATGCTAGAACCTAAACTGGAAAGAATCTAAACTAGGAAGAAAAGTCACTAGTAGTGAATAAATAGCTTTAAATAATTATAACTAACTATAACTGTTAAAAGTCAAAGAAGCTATTATATTGAAATATAAAATATAATTATATCTATTCAACTATTAGCATAAAATTTTGGATAAAAAACCTGGAAAAGATTGACTCAGGTTATGGCTGGTGGCAGGTTGGTGTAGACTTTTGTAGGTTTGTTCCTATGGTGTCGATTTCTTATTTTGGTGGTTCTGGATATACGGATATGTCTGTTTGTGTTTCCTTGCTCTTGAAGCTGGCGGCTGAAAGTAAACATTTGTTCCTTGCACTTTTTTTTTGTGGTTATCTGCGTTTGGTGGCTCTTAGTGATGAAGTTTTCAGTAGATGTGGATACAACTTTCTTTTCACGGGTTAGTATTTGGATTTTGTATCACTAGTTGGTGTGTTTTGAGTGAGTTATGGGTTTTGGGTGTTGATATGAAGTAGTCTACTTGGTCTGATAGAAAGTGGAAATTAAATTTCTAGTGTGTCAATTTTCTTTCTCCGAAATGATTTCTTCGCTCTACTCTATAGGTACTTGGGTAGTGTCTCATAAAGTTGTGTAGGTTGAACAGACGTAGTGATTGGCTGGTGTTTTCAGTAAAATTGTGACGTCATCATATTATTTGCAGAGTTTATTGAGGATGGTTGTTCTCAGGCTGCTTATAAAAACTGTTGTCTTTGTTAAATTCAATCTAGTGAAGTTTGATGTGAATATCTTCTTTCACTTTTCTTTGTTTCCAGTGGTGAACTTTATCTAAAATTATATGTTGACCCCATTTTATGATAATCCTTTGTACTTCGTAAATGAGTTATTTTTGTTTTGACTCGTTGGCTGATTGGTCTACTTTAGTAACGTTGTTTCGGAAACTTTTTCTTACATTAAAATAAACTTTAGCATTAAATTTCCGGCAAATACTTTTATGGTTTTTTGCTTAACTTGGCACAAAAATGATCGAATTGTGTTGGACTTGATTTGAGTGTATTACCCTTGCCAAAATAGATAATTTTTGATGACATCACACTACATACAAAACACCAAACAATGTCAAGTTGTAGTTCTGATACGCTCCGCTCCAACACAACTTTATATCGGCTGTAGTTGGCACTGGTTTGTATATTCAACACTGTTTTACTATAATAAACTCAACTCGTTGTTTAATTAGTTACGAACATCACAGTAATTCTTTTGAATTCAGACGTAGGATTAGTATTATTCGTATAATTGTAACTTGTTATGTGCTGCTAAATGTTTGAGGCATATCGTAATTTGAAATGTACATATGCATATCACTGGTATTACCAACTATTAATTAACAGCAAAACTCAACTGGTTACTTATAGCAAGTAGTGAATATATTGATTAAAAACGTTCAGTGAACATATAAAAACAGAAGAAATGTATTGTGATATACCATACAAATTAAAAGCAGGAGTGTAGCTTTCAGATATTGTATAATAATAAACATTGACCTAACCTCTATACATCCAAACATTGCATAGATTCGATATTATTAGTAAACAAGCTTGTACAAATAGCACATTTCAACCTAATGTGATGTTTGTTTGAAGTTAAGCACAAAGCTACACAATGGGCTATCTGTGCTCTGCCCACCACGGGTATCGAAACCCGGATTCTAGCGTTGTAAGTCCGCAGACATACCGCTGTGCCACTGGGGGTCTAATGTGATGTGAATTGACGTATAGTTCGATTTTTAATTATGATTAACTGACTGGTAATGACCAACATAAATTTCTCTTGATACAAATACTTCTTTTGTAACCAAAGTTCAAAACCATTTTTTTGTTATCACTCCATAGCGAGAGTCACTGTCAAAGTAATTGGAAAGCTCACTGTTAAGAGCGGTTGGAAATGGCGACGAGTCTTTAGAAGGAGGTCTCAGAGCTGCAGCTCGAGCCGTATCTGGCAAACCATTCATCAAAGAAAAAGATCGCTTCAAACTCTGATCCGAAAATAGCAATAACAGGATGAAATATTGCGTTATTGGGTACGAACGTTATGAAAGAACGTCAGGAGAATGTGTAAGAGAACGAGCAAGGCATTTGAGGATATTAAACGAAGAGGTCGACCACAATGTTCAGGAAGTCTTGCTAGTGAGAGGTATATGGCATTATAAGCTCAGATATATATACATCGAGCGAGAGAGAGAGACTCTACTTTAGCCATTATATATATATATGGAATTTTGTTCTTCAAATTCTTAATATTATATAGTGCTATGCGGCCAATACAACTTCCTCCGACCTCCTCCTTGTTTTATTCTTATTTATAGCTGAGACATCTCAAATACATGAAAGCACCATAAACGTAATAGCGGGTGGGAGGGATATTTATTATCCCCATTCTCCAAAAAAGTTTAGAAGAAAATATGCACGTGAACTGAAGGCAAAAATGTTTCCGAATTCAAAACTGGCGTCAGGCACATATTGAATTATTTCTATAGACTTTTTGACAAGTGTTATCCTCAAATTTCAACACCATGAGTATTACCGCATGAATTTATCAAACTAAATACAAAGATGTATACTTAATGTTACATAAAATGATATTAATGTGTGAAAATTTAGCACGCTGTTTGTACTCTAGTTAAATTAGAACATAAAATTAGTAGTAATTAAAAGGTCTAATGATACCTTGAGTGCTTTAAACACTTAAATTAGTGAAACATATCTTAAGCTAAACTTCATAAGACAAAAACTAATAAATATGCGAGTAAAAATTAAACATTGAACACGCTTTCTGCATATCAAAGCTTCTTTAAGTGCTTTACATTTGACGTAAAACTAATTGTCTGAGCTTCAACAAGAGTGGAGAGAAATGATAGGTAGTCGCTTTACAGATAACTAGTGAATGGATCATCCATTGTGTTCTAGTATTTCGTACCTTTGTAAAAGACAGTGATTTTCCGTTACTGATACATCTGATATATGGATAATATAGAATAAATATCATGCCCTAGTAGTTAGTATTTTATTTATCTCTCTTTCTATATATTTATTTATCTCCATATGTATTTGTTATTGAATTTCGCGTGAGATGGCAGTCCCTGATTTTGGGAAATAGAAAGAAGGCAGCAAGTGAGGACCCCATTGTTACCTCAAGAGATCCTCTCATCGAAGAGCGAGTTTTTACAGTCACTCTTATCACATACTCACGTCCTCAAAGTGTAGGGCGCGATATATTTTTGTTTTTGGCAGTAATAGGAGACAAATCACTGGGACACGGATTTATAGTCCAACACGATAACCGCTTGGCTGTGCTGGGTATATATATATATATATATATATATATATATATATATATATGTGTGTGTGTGTGTAGTGTGTACGTACACGTAACTAACTTAACTAAACTACTTAGTTACTTTAACTTTACTAATAACGTAAACTAACTTACTACGTTACTTAGTTA